AGTTTACAGTAGTTCCCCCTCATTTTCAGTTTCACTTTCTGCAGTTTCAGTTACCCATGGTCAACTGTAGTCTGAAAATATTAAATGGAAAATTCCCAAAACAATTTGTAAGTTTTAGATTGTTCACCATTCTGAATAGTGTAATGAAATCTCAAGCTGTTGTGCTCACTGCATCTCATCTAGGACGTGGATCATCCTGTGCCCAGTGTCTACATGCTGTGTACACTACCTGCCCATTAGGGTCTTGGTTATCAGTTCAAAAAAACATAGGGCTCAGTACTATCCAGGTTTTCAGGCATCCAGTGGGGGTCTCTGAACATATCCACCGTCGATAAGCAGGGACTACTGTACATAGCAGACTGCTTATCTATGCAAGTTTGGCGAGTTCTACCTTCATTGCCATTAGGGTCTGAAGCCTTTTTTGTGAAGATATTTCTATATTTTCAAGTTTTCTTCTTGAGCCAGTTTTGGTTATATTCCTATAAAGTCTATTCTAGATTTTAAAACTAGTACTCAAATTATCTCATGGATGTTTTTAAATCTCTGCATAAGAATATTTTTTATCTGTCTCATTCTTAGTGTTTTGGTTAGTTGATTTCAATTCCTTTCATTGTTTTGTTTTAATTCATACATTTTTGTTTGACCTTTATTAATTCCTTCTTCTGGCTTATTTTGTTTGATTTGTTCTTTTTCTACTTTCCAGAATTGAATTCTTGTGTCCATTTATTTTCATTATTATTTTTTAGATTGATAATACAATCAGTTACACTTCCACACCTACACAGTAGCCTGTAAGAATACTTTTCCCACGTTGAAGGTTATGGATTTTTCTCTTAGTATGAGACTTTTTTCCCACAATGTGATTAACTTTCAAATGGTCTGTGATTTGTTTTAGTTACTTACTAGACAGAAGTTATTTTATTTTATTTTATTTTTTTGAGGTGGAGTTTCACTCTTGTCACCTAGATTGGACTGCAATGGCACAATCTCTGCTCACTGCAACCTCCGCTTCCTGGATTCAAGGGATTCTCCTGTCTCAGCCTCCTGAGTAGCTGGGATTACAGGCACCCACCACCACACCTGGCTAATTTTTGTATTTTTAGTAGAGACGGGGTTTCACCATGTTGGCCATGCTGGTCTCGAACTCCTGACCTCAGGTGATCTGCCCACCTTGGCCTCCCAAAGTGCTGCACTGAGATTACAGCTATGAGCCACCACACCCGGCCTAAAGTCATTTTAAAGATTATTTTTTAAATTTATAAGTAGTTTCCTTTTGTTTATCTTTTTATTGAGTTAATTTTACACATTGTAGTCACATATTGTGGCCTCTAAGAGCTCTGTTCTTTGGACTGTTCCTATGGCATAATAAATAATTTATCTAAATGTAGATGTTCCAGATTCATTTGAAAAGGTGTTTTCTTTGTTAAGACACAAAGTTATTTATACATACACACACACTCTATATAGATAAAATACAAAAATTAGCTGGGTGTGGTGGCGCACACCTGTAATCCCAGCTACTCAGGATGCTGAGGTTGCAGTGAGCCGAGATGGCACCACTGCACTCTAGCCTGGGTGAGAGAGTGAGACTCCATCTCAAAAAAAAAAAAAAAAATCTAGTTTTATTCATTTCATAGTGTTTGGAATACAACAAAGTATTAACTACAGTTTCCCTATTGCACTATAAAATACTAGAACTTATTCTTTGTACCTGACTGTATTTTTGTACCCATTAACCGACTTCTCTTCATCCTAGAGTCTTTCTGGGGTTTTTGTGTGTGTGCCAAATGGTGGGAGCTAGAGCCTTTTTAAATAGGAGGATTTAAACCACTTATTTTTCTCATGATTGAGTTTTCATTTTGTTCCTACCGTTTTATTTTATATTTCTATCATTTGCTTTCTTATGACTCCCCTTCTTCCCCTTTTTACCCTATATTTTGCTGAAATTATCCAGATTTCTTTGCTGCTTTTTCCTCTCTGCTAGTTATGAAAATTACATGTACAATTTGTGGCTCCCTACATTTTAAAATACATATTTAGATTTATACTTCTGTAACAACTTTTTAAATTAAGTAGTTATAACTTTTCAAAATAAAACTATTAGCACAACTTAACTTTCTTCTCCCCATTCATCTTCCATGCTTTGCTGACATAATCTGAAGCCTTAATCTAGATTACTGTGGGGGGTTTTAATTAGTGGAATGATTACATACCTATATAGAGAGAAAGAAGTGTACTTATGTGTCTAAAAATGTCTTTTTCCTTCTTTCTTTCTTTTTTTTTCTATACAAATGAAAGATAGTTTGGCTGGATATACAGTTCTAGCATCATAGTTCTTTTCCATCAGACCTGTATAGATGTTGCTCCATTGTATATTTTTTAATTAAAATTTTTATTTTGAGATAACTGTAGACTCACATACAGCTATAATAAACAGTACAGAAAGATCCTATGTACTCTTTTCACAATTTCCTGTAATGATAACATCTTGTAAAACTATAGTATAATATCATAACCAGGATATTAATTTTGATACAGTCAACATACAGAAGGTTTCCATCACATCAGGGATTTCTTATAGTACATCAAGATAAGTGTACTTATACAGTATGTAACCTTTTGGGATTGGCTTTTTTCATTCACCATAATTATCTGGAAAGTGATTCTGATTATTGCATCTATCCGTAGTTTGTTTCTTTTTATTGCTGAGTGGCATTTGATGATGTGCATACCCAAGTTTGTTTAATCATTCACCCATTGAATGATATTTGGGTTGTTTCTAATTTTAGACCATTACAGATAGAGCTGCCATGAACATTTGTGTTGAGGTTTATATGTGAACATAGGTCTTCACTTTCCTGGAATAAATACCCAGGAGTGCAACTGCTGAGTTGTATGGCAGTTGCATGTTTAATTTTACAAGAAACTGATAAACTATTTTCCAGGGTGGCTATACCATATTATATTACCACCACCAAGATAAAATGCTCTAGTTTCTCTGCATTCTTGCCAGCATTTGGTGGTGTTACAACTTTTTACTTTAGCCATTCTGATAGGTATAATTTAGTAATTTCTCATTGTGGCTTTACATTCTATTTCCCGAATAGCTAATGATTTTGAACATACGTTTGTGTACTTATTTACCATCTGTATATTCCTTTTGGTGAAATATCTCTTTTGCCCATTTTCTAATTGAATTGTTTCCTAGGGCTGCCTTAACAAAGTGCCATAAACTGGGTGGGTTAAAACAACAGAAAATCTATTGTCTCACAATTCTGGGGTTTAGAAGTCTGAAATCAAGATGTTGGTGGCCGGGCACAGTGGCTCACACCTGTGATCCCAACACTTTGGGAAGCCAAGGTAGGCAGATCACTTGAGTCTAGAAGTTCAAGACCAGCCTGACCAACATGGTGAAACCCCATCTCTACTAAAAATACAAAAATTAACAGAGCATAGTGGTGCGCTCCTGTAGTCCCAGCTACTAGGGAGGCTGAGGCAGGAGAATCACTTGCAAAAAATAAATAAATAAATAAATAAATAAATAGCAAGGTTGTTCTGTCTGAGGGCTCTGAGAAAGGATTTGTTCATGCCTTTCTTCAAACTGCTGATGACAGCCAGCAATCCTTCAGTCTCTGCTTCTTACAATATCACACAGCATTCTCTCCTCCTATATCTCTCTGTCTCTTTTCCTCTTCTTATAAAGACACCAATCATATTGGATTATTCTAGTGTAACTTTAACTTCTTAATTACATCTTCAACACCCCTATTTTCAAATAAAGTCACATTCAAAGGTACTGGGAGTTACACCTTCACCATATCTTTTTGAGAACACAATTCAATCCATAATTGGTTGGTTTTTTACTATTGAGTTTTGTGTTTAGATATTAGCCCTTTGTCAGGTGTATGGTTTGCAAATATATTTTTCCTGGTCTTTTGCTTCTTTCTTCATCCTCTTGACAGAGTCTTTCAAGGCCAAAAAAATTTTCATTTCAATGAAGTCCAATGTATCCATTTTTCCTTTTATACTCTTTGCTTTTGGTGTCAAGTCTGGAACTTTTTGCCTAATCCTAGATTCCAAATATCTTCTCTTAGGTTTTTTGTAACTATATCATTGTTTTGCATTTTAAGTTTAAGTACAGGATCTATTTTGAGTTGTTTTTTGTGTGTGAGGTTAAGATCAAGATTCAGTTTTTTTTGCCTGTGGATGTCCCATTGTTCCAGCACTAATTGTTGAAAAGACTATATAGTCTCTCTATTGAGAAAGGATTGCACATTTCTCAAAAATCATTTGGGCTTATTTGTGTAGGTCTATTTCTGGGTTCTTCATTTTGTTCCATTGACCCATGTGTCTGTCCTTTTGCCAAAACCAATCAGTGTCTTTATTAAGCTATGAGTCCTTATATTGAATAGACTGATTCCTCTCCCTTTAGTCTTCTTTTTTCAAAATTGCTTTAGCTATTTTATTTCCTTGTCTTTCTTTCTGTCTACATTTGTTAAACTTGTCTATGTCTACAAGAAAAATTGCTGGGATTTTGATAGGAATTATGTTAAACCTATATATCAATTTGGAGAGAATATCTTTCCTATGCTGAGTCTTCAGATCCATGAACACAGTATGTCTCTGCATTTATTTAGATCTTACTTGACTCCTTTAATCAGCGTTTTGTCATTTTTAGCATATAAGTCCTGTACATATCTAATGTCTTATTAAATTTAATTCCTTGTATTTTTTTTTGAACAATGGTAAATGTCATTGTATTTATAATTTCAGTGTTCATATGTTCATTGCTAATTTATAAAAATACAGTTGATTTTTATATGTGTATCTGGTATCCTGCAACCTTGCTGAACTCATTTATTAGTTTTAGAAATTTTTTTGAAGATTCTTTGGGATTTTGTTGTTGTAGATGTTGATGTTGGCAAATAGGCGCGGTTTAATTTCTTCCTTTCTGATGTGTATGCCTTTTATTCCCTTTTCTACCTTATTGCACTGGCTAGAACTTCCAGCACTATGTTGAATAAGAGTGGTGAGAGCAGATATCCTGCCTTGTTCCCGGTCTTAGGGGGGTAAGTATTCAGTCTTTCACAATTAAGAATAATATTAGCTGTACAGTTTTTGTTGTTATTGTTTGGTTGGTTTTTGCTGGTTTGTTTTTTGTAGATGGTTTTTAACATGTTGAAGAAGTTCTCTTCCATTTCTATTTCTGGGAGTTTTTTCATTTCTGTTTGCTGATGTTTGTGAAATGTGTTTTTTTTAAATCAGTTAATATGACCATGTGATTTTTCTTCTTTAGCCATTTAATATGGGTAGATTACTTTGAGTTTTTTTTTTTTTTTTTTTTTTTTTTTTTTAATATTAAGCCAGCCCTGAATCTCTTGAATAAACCTTACTTGGTCATGGTGTTGTAAAACTATTTACATATTGCCAAATTCTACTTGCTAATATTTTGTTAAGAATTTTTGTGTCTGTATTTGCCAGATACTGTCTTTATCTGGTTTTGATATCAAGATCACATTGGCTTCAAAAAATGCTTTGAGAAATGTTCCCTCCCATTCTCTGCAAAAGATTGTCAAGGATTTGTGCTCATTCTTACTTCAACCTTTGGTAGAATTCTCTGGTAAAAGCATCTTGGCCTGGAGCTTTCTTTTTTGTGAATTTTTAAATGACTAATTCAGTTTCTTTGATAGTTATAAAACTGTTCACATTATCTATCTTATATCGGGTGAGTTTTTGTAGTTTGTGTTTTTTGAGGAATTGGTCTGTTTTATTTATATTACTAAATTTATGTCTGTATATGTGTGTATACCCTTCTTATCCTTTTGATGTCTGCAGTGTCTATAGTGATCTCTCCTATTTAATTGTTGATATAGGTAATTTGTGTCTTCTCTCTCTCTCTTTTTTTTTTTTTTTTTTGGTCATTCTTCCTAGAGATTTGTCAGTGTTATTGATCATTTCAAAGAACAGACTCAGGTTTTTGTTTCATTGATTTTTCTCTGTTGTTTTCCTGTTTCTCAATTTAATTGGTTTCTGTTATTTACTATTTCTTTTTTCCTGATTAACTTGCCCTTTTTCTAGATTCTTGATGTAGGAGTTTAGATTATTGATTTGAGATTTTCTTATTTTCTTATGTGTGCATTTAGTGCTATGAATTACCCACTCAGCACTGCTTTACCTATGTCTCTCAAATTTTGATGTGTTGTATTTTCATTTTCTTTTTTTTTATTTTGAGACGGAGTTTTGTGCATGTCACCCAGGCTGGAGTGCCATGGCATGATCTCAGCTCACTGCAACCTCCACCTCCAGTGTTCAATCAATTCCTCTGCCTCAGCCTTCCAAGTAGCTGGGATTACAGGCACCTGCCACCACACCTAGCTAATTTTTGTGTTTTTAGTAGAGACGGGGTTTCACCATGTTGGCTAGGCTGGTCTCAAACTCCTGACCTCAGGTGAACCACCCGCCTCGACCTCCCAAAGTGCTGGGATTACAGGTGTAAGCCATTGTGCCGGCTCCCCGCCCCCCCCTTTTTTTTTTTAACTGAGACGGAGTCTTGCTCTGTTGTCCAGGTTGGAGTACAGCAGTGCAATGTCGGCTCACTGCAATCTCCGCCGCCAGGGTTCAAGCGATCCTCATGCCTCAGCCTCCTGAGTAACTGGAACTACAGGTGCGTGCCACCACGCCCGGCTAATTTTTTTGTATTTTTAGTAGAGATGGGGTTTCACCATGTTGGCCAGTCTGGTCTTTTTTTTTTTTTTTTTTTTTTGAGACGGAGTCTTGCTCTGTCGCCCAGGCTGGAGTGCAGTGGCCAAATCTCAGCTCACTGCAAGCTCCACCTCCTGGGTTTATGCCATTCTCCTGCCTCAGCCTCCCGAGCAGCTGGGACTACAGGCGCACGCCACCTCGCCCGGCTAGATTTTTGTATTTTTTAGTAGAGACGGGGTTTCACTGTGTTAACCAGGATGGTCTCGATCTCCTGACCTTGTGATCCGCCTGTCTCAGCCTCCCAAAGTGCTGGGATTACAGGCTTGAGCCACCGCGCCCGGCCTGGCCAGTCTGGTCTTGAACTCCTGACCTCAGGTGATCTGCCTGCCTCGGCCTCCCAAAATGCTGGGATTACAGGCGTGAGCCACCACACCCAGCCTGTATTTTCACTTTCAATCAATTCAGTGTATTTTTTAAAATTTCTTTTAAGACCTCTTTTTAACTTATAGATTAGTTAAAAGTGTGTTGATTAGTTTCTAAGTGTTTGAATATTTTCTTGCTACCTTTCTGTTATAAATGTCTAGTTTGATTCAACTATGTCCAGTTACACACTCTATATGACTTTGATTTTTGAAAGTTTGTTTGAGATTTGTTTTATGACTAGGGATGTGGTCTGTCCTGGTGTAGGTGCCATGGGTATTTGAAAATAATGTATATTTTGCTGTTGCTCGGTAGAGTGCTCTATAAATTTTGAGTAGATCCTGTTGTCTAATTGTGTTTTTGAATTTTTCTTTATCCTTGCTGGTTTTCTAGTTGTTTCATCAGTTGTTGAGAGATGGTTTTGAAGTCTTTGAGTATAATTATAGATTTGTTTATATCTCCTTTCAGTTCAGTCAGTTTTTACTTCACAAGTTTTGCAGCTCTGTTGTTTTGTGCATGCACATTTAGGATTGCTATGTATTTTTCATGGGTTGACCATTTTATCATTATGTAATGTTTCTTTCTCTCTCTGGTAATTTTATTTGCTCTGAAGTCTGCTTTGATGTTTATATAGCCACTCCTGCTTTCTTTTGATTAATGCTTGCATTACATATCTTTTTCTGTCCTTTTCAATGTGCATGTATCATTATTTTTAAAGTGAGTTTCATGTAGACAGCATATTATTGGGTGATGTTTTTTAATTCATTCTGTCAATCTCTGTGTTTTAATTGGCGTATTTAAACCATTTATACTTAAGCTTGCCATTTTAAACTTTGTTTTCTGTTTGTTTTCATTGTTTTTTATTTCTGTTACTTGAATAATTTTTTGAAGTTCTTTTTGATTTTTTGTAGTGTTTCGAGTGTATGTCTTTGTATAGTTTTCTTACTGAATGCTGTAGGCATTATATTATATATGCAGTCTACTAGTATACTTTACCAGTTCAGGCTAGAAATCTTACCTCTTTTTATGTCCCTTTATCCTCCCTTATTTTTAATATGCTCATCTTAAATATTTCCTCTGAATACATTTAGAACCGGGTTGGAGAATTATAAGTTTTCTTCAACCATTGAATGTGATTTAGAAAACTCAAGAGAAGGAAGTTTATGGTATTTACCCTTATATTTGTTTACCATGTTGTTTCTTCCTTCTTGATGTTCCAAGGTTCCTTTTCTTATTTCCTTTCTGTTAAGACAGCTTCCTTTAGTCACTCTTTAAGAGTAGATCTGCTAGCAACAAATTCCCTTTGTTTTCCTTCATGCAAGGCTGTCTTGATTTCCTGTTTCATTCCTGAAGGGTATTTTTGCTGGATGTAGGATTTTGGGTTGAAGGCTCTTTTCTTTCAGCACTTGAAAAATGTGTTCCTTCCTTTTGGCCTCCATTGTTTCTGATGAGAAATCTCTGCTTTCATATTATTTCCCCCAATGGTATCTCCTTAGTTGCTTTCAAGATTTTTATTGTTCTTTTAACTTAATTACCTCTGCAAAGAAAAAAAAAGATTTTGTTGTTGTTGTTGTTAGTTTTCAGAAGTTTGACTATGATGTGTCTTGTTGTAGATTTCTTTGGGTTTATTCTCTTTGGAGTTTGTTCAGCTTCTTAAATCTGTACATTTATGTACAGATTCCTCAGCTTCCCGAGTAGCTGGGATTACAGGTGCCCACCACCATGCCTGGATAATTTTTGTATTTTTAGTAGAGACAGAGTTTCACCATGTTTGCCAGGCTGGTCTCAAACTCCTGACCTCAAGTGATCCACACACGTTGGCCTCCCAAAGTGCTGGGATTACAGGCATCAGCCACCGTGCCCAGCCCTGGTTCACTTATGCTTTCCCCTTTCTTCTCCGTTCTGCTGTTGGGCCCATCGCTTAGTTTTAGTTTTTTTATTTCAATTGTTGTGTTTTTCAGTTCTATAATTTCTATTGTGTTCCTCTTTATATCTTCTGTTTCTTTGCTGAGATTTTCAGTGTTTTCACTTGTTTCAAGCATGTTCATAAATGCTTGCTTAAACATTTTGATGATGGCTGCTTTAAAATCTTCATCAGATAATTTTAACATTTTTGTCATTGGCATTAACATCTGTTAATTGTCATTTCTCATTTGATTTATGATCTTCCTAGTGTTGATATGATGAGTAATTTTTAGTTGGAACCTGGACATTTTGTGTATTATGTTATGAGACTCTGGATTTTATTTAAACCTTCTGTGTTAACTGGCTTCCTCTGACACCAGTGGGTGTCAGTGAAACGGTGGGTTGTAATGCTGCTTCATTAATGCCAGGTAAAGGTAGAAGTCCAGGTTCCCTACTCAGCCTCTATTGACATGGGGGGCAAGGACAGGGCAGGAATGGAGTTCCAGCTCTCAACTAGGCTTTCACTGATACCTCTTTGGCTGGGACAGGTAGGAGTGCTTGTTGCCAGTTGGTGGTGGTAAAATCCTGATTCTTCACTAGATCTCCTCTGTCATCACCCCAGTGAGGACACTTTGTTACTGCTGGATAGGGGTAGAAGTCAGGGTCCACATGTAGTCTCCACTGATATCACTGAGGTGGAGCCTCATTTTCACCATGTTGGGTAAAAATTCCAGCTGGCCAACATGGTGAAACTCGGTCTCTACTAAAAATATAAAAATTAGCTGAGCGTGGGGGTGGGCGCCTGTAGTCCCAGCTACTCGGGAGGCTGAGGCAGGAGAATCGCTTGAACCCGGGAGGTGGAGGTTGCAGTGAGCTGAGATCACACCACTGCACTCCAGCCTGGCGACAGAGCAAGACTCCGTCTCAAACAAGCAAAAAGAAAACAAACAAACAACAACAACAAAAAAAATCCAGCTTCCTACTTGGCCTTTTCTAACACTATCCCAGCAAAATGGCTGGGGGCATCTTGTTACATCCTGGC